TAGAAATAGCCGAGAGTGGAATGCAACCAGGGCTGAATAGTGGTGAACCTAGCGCAACGTCTGCGTCTGGTCTCAGCGATATAGGGTGATGAATCGTCTGGAATTAATTTTCAACAAATGGAGCGTCTTCCTTTAAATCTGCCTGATTGCACACGGTCATTCACAAAAACTACACACAGCAAAATATCGGATAGCTGCTTCTACCAAACATGGTAAATTTTGGTATATTACTCCACATATCATTTTCGTCTCCGCTCCGCTATTTTGAAGCAAAAACAGTAAAAGTGCTGAAACTTTGTGAATTATGCGACCAACAGGGGAAAAAACTAACAGGTGTAGTTGGACTGAGTAGTGGAAGAGGTTTCCCGTCCATGCATTCTGACGCCATTTGATCCGAAATATCGAGATCATTGTTGCTACTCACATAATCATCTTAATTTCAGTATTCTTGACCAAAAACAGAAGAGAAAACTTCTAAAAAATTGTGACTAACTTCATAAAGCAACTGGAGCGTCAGATGCTAGATATGAAATAAGTACATACGTTGTTCGATTTCCTTCCTATTACTACTTCCTGTTTTCTTTCGCTCGCGATTGCACCATTTCCAATCAGGATGGGCTCGAAAATGGGCTTCTTTGACCTTAAAATATTCTTATATGTTGACAAGACAAATGTCTCAGAGTCAAGCATCGAAACAGCAGCTCAGACCTGAGTGGCAAGATCATGATATTTTTGCTTCTCCTCAAGGCCCAGTGCATACCACCATTCTCCGAGAATTTTCGAAACAGTGCGATTGTCCCGATTCGGATATTTCTCATGTACGAGCGGCCGATGCCGTTTGGAAAATATCATGAATGCATTCATTGGTCGTCGTATATGCTCTCGCGCCTAAGAAATGCGACTAGGTAACAATCATAAGTAGGCCTGGTGGACAAAATGCCAGTGCAAAATAATTAGCTGGAAGACATTATGAAAAAGCCTCACTGCTTTCCTGTCAATGATTCCTGGACTAAGCACGTTCTGTATTTTCCGCTTTTTTGGCGAAGAACACACTGATTCGTCTAATGCATCAATTTCAAAGGCATCATCATCCTCAAGCTCGAAGTTGAAATGATCTGCAGGTAAGAACAAGACAATTAACAACTAACTCATGGCACTGTCACAGTTTTTATGCGTTTTGTGCTGTGTAACACAGTACAAAGCGCATATTGTCACGGGGTTGTCTGTGTGTGTGTGTGT